ATAATTTATTTTGGGTACCAAAAACCCCAATTCTTCTGTTCCCCCAAGGCATATTCCTTGAATGGAGAACTGAATAATTGAAAATCTGGAGTTCATAACACATAAATTGAATTTAATACAGAACACACAAGGACTGCTGTCCTGGTTAGATGAGAAGAAAAATTAGAGAGAACTAGGAAGAAATGATGCATACAGTACTAACATCTAGCTGGTTTCTACAATTATGAGTCAGATTCCCCCAACATCATGAGATTGACTTAAATGTATATATTTTAATGTTGGGTTCTTTTAATATTCTGATGTTTTAGCCATGAGGATGTATTGGGGTCATGTTTTCCAGATTTTCTCTGAAACTCAGAGGACTGGAGCTGTGCTTTCTTAAAAAAATGACAATTGATAATCTCCCCTAAAACCATGACTCCACAAGCCAATACTTAAAGAAAAAAAAACCCACCCATGCTCACGTTACCTCAGGGAAATAGGCAAAAGGGAAGTAGAACTGGGAATGGTAAGCCATGTGTCAGAGAGGTCAGGCCCACTTCTACTCATATCTTGTCACCAGAAGAATAGCTACCTTACTATGTGTACCCATCCCTAGTGTGGTGTGATGACAGACAAACAATTTAGGTACAACCAGTTCTTTTTTGGTAAGAAAAAAAGGTACCAGTACTCTGGGGCAAACTTGTTGAGACAAAAACAAAACAAAACAAAAAAGCATGCCAGGGGGCTGAAATGCAATTGGAGGCCCTTTAAGAGCCAGTGTGTCATGCTGGGAGTCATGAAAAAAAATGCTACTCAGTCTGAGCTGCTCCAGGAAAACAGGTGCCGGTACATGCAGTGGAAATCCCATTTCTTTTCTGTGGGTTGGGAAAATAGGTGCCGGTACGCCATTCTGGGCTGTACCATCACAAAAAAAAAAGCACTAGGTACAATCAAGGTAAGTGTATGGAAGAGATTCAGTTACAGAGTGTAGGGAGAGAAAGAAACATAACATGTAACTAATACAACAAACAAAAAGCATCCTTTGTGAAAACAGTGCCAGTGTGACTGCAATGAGATATGAAGCCCAGGCACAAACAACTCCACTTGGCCAGAAGGAAGAAAAAAGGAGATAGACTGCTATGCTTTTGTGTGTAGGATGGGACTACATAGTGCAATGCCAGGGACCTATAATCTTTGAGGTAATGTGAAGCCCTCAAGGAAAATGCCAGGGAAACCCATTAAGTCCTTGTGGAGATAAATTCTCTATTCCTCACCAGGGTCCAGGATGATGGGAAGTAGATTTATTTTTCTCCTTCAATATGGCACAGATGACGTTCTCTAGAGCAATGGTTTGAACAGTCTAGAGTTCCAACCAATGTACACATGGGCCCCAATGGTGGCTAAAGGCATCACACAAACGCAGACTCAATATGCAGTTATTGAGATGGACAGCTAGTCACTGTAGCTGCAAAGCCTTATAAAGAGTCTTTGGCAGGAACAGCTCTAAGGAGACTGAACCCTCAGAATATTCTTGGGGAGGAAAACCCAGGTTGAGCTGATTCTAGATGACAGTTGAGAATCAAAGGCCCTTTGTGGCTGATGCAATAGCAATAGGGAGTTTATGGTCACAGTTCCTGGGATCCATTTTGATTTCACAAAGGCATGATTGTAGTATATAAAACCCATCTCAATTATTATAAGAATGATTAATAAACTAATCTAGGGCCTCTCAGAGAAAGAAAGGCTTTATACTAAGGGCATTTATTAAAAGCAACACCACAAACTCTGGAAACTGGTGCTCCTAGTGTAACACTTAACAGGCCTCAGTGCACCTGGAACATCCAGCCTGTCTCAGCCACCAAGTAAAGGAGGTAAGGTGAGGGTTATCTGCCTCTATCAAAGCCAATGAGCAAACAGCTGCTCTTGATTTCCATCCCTCCCCATCACTGTTGTCATGAGGCAGCAACCTGGAACATTCTACAGGCAGATTCATTGATCAACCTCCATATTCCACTTCAGAATTTTTTTAAAGCTAAAATTTTTATAAAAAATGGAATGAGCTAATTCCACACACTGCTAGGCTGTGTCTAGACTGGCAAGTTTTTCCAGCTGTCTTGCCAGTCTTGCCAGCTGTCTACACTGGCCGCTTGAATTTCCGCAAGAACACTGACAATCTCATGTAAGATCGTCAGTGTTCTTACGGAAATACTGTGCTGCTCCCATTCGGGCAAAAGCCCTCTTGTGCAAATCATTTGCACAATAGGGCCAGTGTAAACAGCACAGTACTGTTTTCCGCAAAAAAGCCCTGATCGCGAAAATGGTGATCGGGGCTTTTTTGCAGAAAAGCACATCTAGGATTGGCCAGAGATGCTTTTCCGCAAAAAGTGTTTTTGCGGAAAAGCATCCTGCCAATCTAAACGTACTTTTCTGAAAATGCTTTTAACTGAAAATTTTTCCGTTAAAGCATTTTCGGAAAATCATGCCAGTGTAGACGTAGCCAAAAAAATGGAATTAGCTAATTCCACACACTGCTAATGTAAGCAACTTTGCTCTCTTGTCCTCTCTTCCTTCTTTGAATGCGTCTCATGTTTCAACATACACTTGTAAGCTCTTCTGAACAGGGATTGAGTCTCAGGCTTTGTCTATACTTGAAAGTTTAAAGTACAGCTATGGCAGCACTTTATAAACCACCGCCATGAGTTGAGTAGCTAACAATTTTGGGAGCATGGCTCACACTGGCACTTTACAGCACTGAAACTTGCTGTGCTGTGGGGAGGGGGGATTCACACCCCTGAGCTAGAAAGTTAGAGCACTATAAAGTGCCAGTGTAGACTTAGCCTGAGCTGACTTTAAGGCACTTTGTATGCCTTATGCAGTGCTTAATTTGTAATGAAAGAGGTGCTGGGGCTCAAGCCCTATTTTTACCTTTCAAACTGATGCCACAACTACAGGGGTACCAGGGCAATGAACTGCCAAGTCTAGAGTTTTGGGGACTCAGCCCTGGCTAAAATTAAGCAGTGCTTATGGAACTGTATACATATTGATCTGCTTGGAAGGGAACCCATTGTGCCATTTTGGCACAGCTGATTCACTGTGGGAATAATGGCTAAGAGGCTAGGGCCAGAGAATGACTTTAGTTCGTGGATTAAGACTCATACCAGAAGTGGGAGATCAAGATCCATTCTCCTTGCTCCCCTATTTATTTATACCCAGATGAACAACTCAGAATACCCCAGTGGTTAGAGCACTCTCCTAAGACAAGGGAGACCCCTGTTCAGCTCCTTTCTCCCCCTCAGAAAGAGGGAAGAATTGAACTTCAGTATCCTACAGCCCAGTAAATAGGTCAGGTTTTTCTCATTAAAAATTACTACATTCATAAGAATAGTAATAATGCAGTCAAATAACTCATTTATGCTTTAAGGCAGTGGTCATGAACTCAAATCACAGTGTCTCAGAGTAGATCACCATCCCAGGTGGCTGGATGGCTGCCCCTCATTGTTAACTTGCTGGTGGAGCGGAGAGTCATGCACATCTGTGCATCCCTGACTCTTGCCTCCTGCTCCGGTTGGGTCTGGGCCTGCTCCCCAGAGCTGGTGCTGGGTGGCCAGCACCTGTGGCTTGCTGCACTGCTCCCCACGGGCCAGGTGTGGGGGGCAGGGAGCCCCTTTCCCAGCACCCTGCTGTGTCTTGCCAGGCTAGAGCTGGCCCTGGGCAGCCCCAGGCTCTGCCTGTGCTGGCCCCAGCCCTGGAGCTGCAGCCTGCAGGCAAAGGGCTGGACTGGGCAGGGAAGAGACTCTCTCCCAGAGGCTGTAGTCCCAGCACTGCTGTCCTGCTGATGAGCATGCTGGGGGATATGGGGGCAGGAAGAGGGGTGAAGGATGCAGGGGAAAGGGTTGCACTGGGGGGCATTGGGCCATGCACGGAATCAGGCTGGGATGGACTATGGGGCTGAGGGGAACAAGGCTGGAGTAGAGGGAAGATGTGGGGGGAGGGGGGGGGAATACAATTTTACTTTGCAGACGTTGTACTTCACTTCATTCTCCCCCACTAGCTATTCGGCTGCATTCTCACCCTCTGACCTCTGCTGTGTTACTACCCCAAGCCCTTCCCACCCTCAAACTCCCTCTTGATTGAAAACTGGATGCCTTTCTGGAAATGTGCGTCAGTCTAACACCATTTCTCAAACTGTGCTCCACAGAGCCCCAGGGCTCCACGAGACATCTCCAGGGGCACCACAAGGTTGACAAACTAGAAGCATTGATAGGTACAACACAGACAATCAGTAGACCGCTGGGGCTCTGCATACATTTTTACTCATGTAAAGGGCTCCAGAGCCCAAAAAGTTTGAGAAACACTTGGTTCGAACCTACGTTACTCATTTTCTGAGGAGTAACGTTAGTTCGAACCAAGGCGTTTGGTTCGAACTAATATGTTCTGGTGCGTACTTCCTGATTCAAATCAGCTGTGATTCGAACTAGCGCACGGGCGAGATCATGCTAATGAAGCGCAGGATATTTAAATCCCCGCTTCACTGACTATTTTGAATGCCTGCATTTGCATCCCTAGTTCAAACTAGGGTGCAAGTGTAGACATACCAAACAGTTATACTTTGAGTGTAAGTAGATTCATAGAAGTAAAGCAGTTTGTTAAAAAGGGGGGGGGGAATATTTAAATGCTATATATAACCACTGAAATTTGATCCTGTACGTTAAATCTTATTCAGTGCTTACCTGTTCTAAACAATCATGCTAGTTTACCCAAAAGGTAAGCCCTAAGATGCACTATCACCTTACAAATGGAAGGCTCTGCTTTCAAATCCCCCTTTCAAGCTTGAGTAGCATTTACATAGGAAGATTCTGTAAAACAGCAACTGTGAACATGCTCAAGGAGCTCAGCAGAACACTACTGAAATATTGAATCATCTTTGCATAGAGATGGATACAAATATCCCAGCACACAAGAGTCAGGTGGTTTTTTTTGCTCCTAGTATTTCAGACAAACACCAGGAATCAGGATAGCTTGAAAAAATAATCCAATATTTTATAAACATTATTCCTATAGTCCAGAAAACTATTTTCATTCTCACCTGTCTAAATTAACATGCACAAAAATGCACACCAGAGAAGGAAAAAAATTAATGTACATTCAAAGGTTCTCTGAAAGATCCTCAACTCTTTCAATCAAATAATATATTGAGAAAGCTAAACAAGACTAAAGTATCATTCACCAATCATAATAAAATTTAAGAGATGAATACTTCAGATTTTAAATGTTCAAGTACAGCCAATGTGCAAATAAACTAGTTTGGAAAAAATAATTTAATAGTACTGTATGTGCAAATAGTTATACAAAATTCTCAATGTTAAAAACAAATATTACTATAATTAAGTTTCAAACAGAGTTTCGTCAAAATGAGGTAAATCAATGTTGCCTGCTATTGAGTTCAACAATGCAGAGGAGAACAGATCTTCAAGAATATCTTCCTTCATAGGACTTTCAAAAGAAAGTTTTTTCAAGCAAGAGGTGTTTGTTACCGAGTCTGTATGACCTTCAGACTTATTTTCTTTTACAGTACTGTAATAATTATGGTCTTCGTTTATGACAGTGACACAGTGAGAGAGGTTGGTTCTCTCACTATGCACTGGCGCTGCACTATTACTATCCACCATTTCCAAGTATCTACACTCATCTTCATGTTTTGGATACATTGATGAAGCAACAGTTGAAGTAGGAGATAATAAGTCTGCTAAAAATTCTGCATTACTCTGGCTACTGAAAAATGACATGTTGGAGTTTGTACTACATAAAGAGCCATTATCTGCAACATCAATCTGATATTGTAGTTCCTCCAATAAATTCTGTATTGATTCAGTTTCACGATGAGATTCAGTCTGTAACAGATCTTTTACGTCTCTATTTGGAGAGCTTCCATTACACATCTGAGCCTTTGCCAGCCTATCAAGTGAAGCCAACTTGTTCTTTTTAGCCTTCAGTTTTTTAAGCAGTTTTAAACGAAGTTTGTGAATTTTGTTAGCATCTGATTCTTTATCCTTCCCATCAGATTTGTGATTTCCATTTTCACCATGGCTGGGTTTGGAATGAAAGATGGGCATGTTGGGAATTACTTTACCTTGGGTGTCCAATGGGCTTCCAGACTTATTCAAAGTTTGACCATCAACTACAGGGTTTACTGCAGGTAGATGAGCATGTACAGAAGGACCAGTGATGTTTGTTAACACAGAGGAAAGATTTCTACCTTGACAAACAACTGATTTAGGCACCTCCTCGGTTGTTTTGTTTGTACCTTTGGCTTGAAAGCCACCAAAGCTAGCTGCACCCTTAGCGGCAAAGGGCAAGTCAGTAATGCTTGAAGGACTTTTGTAACTTTTCTCATTATGATAATGAGCAGAGGCACTTGAAGACAGGAAGGTATTATGCTTGCTTAGTAACCCCTTTACCCAACTTCCTACAAATCCTTTCTTTTGATCTTTATGGGAAGACTGGGAGAAATTATCTGTAGCAGACAAAGTTGCACCCTGAGAGTCTGCTACAGTTTTGCTTGTGTTTCTGGTGTCAGATGATTTCTGTGAAACAGTCTCTATTAATGGTAATTTCTTGTTCTGCAAGAGTTCTGAATTTAACCTGATATTCTCAGTGTTGACTGGCCTAGCTTTGCCTTCTGCCCCTTGATCATGTGATAGTACTGATGAATCACTGCAACGGTTTGTAGGAATAGGTATTGTATTTGCTAGGTTCAACTGTCCTAGATGTAAGGAAGTCCTGGCATTTTCAGATGGTATGCACATATTGCTGGAGGTAGTCTGACTACAAACATCTGTACAAGATGACACCTGTTGTTTCAGCATGCCCGTTTCAGCAATTACGTTATTTCCCATCATCTGTCCATTGTCCAATGGTTTACCTTCAGAATCAACTTTAATTTCTACAAGCGTCAGTGTTATAACATCATCATCTGCCAAATTTTCTAAGCCAGATAGCAAGCTATTTGCATGATCTGTGGCCACTTTCTGTTGTTCATTAACTGGAATGCTCACAATCTCCATTTTGTTATATTCTGTAGGTATTCTGTCTATAGCGTTATCACCCTCACAGTGCAGCACTGGAGAACTTGTCCATGCATCATGAAGAGGAAGATTTTCAGATTTTTTATTTGGAACCTCTGAGTTAATTTTATTTGGCACTTGGGATGCTTTCCTTTCCCAGATGAGTATGTGAATTTCTGAAGGAGGAACTTCAAATCTCTTATGTCTTTTGCTATAAGGACCTTTTATATCATCACATTCAAGCCAACTTTCTGAAAAACAAACAATGCATAGTTTAGAGGCTCAAAGGTACACAATTGGCCATGGGGGGGGGGGGGAAATACAAAAAAACCCAT